TTACATAGAAATGTGTGCAGATAATTTAAGGTATATCATTTCTCTACTTTAAACTATATACAACCAACCTTCTATGATGAATTCTTCAAATGCAGTATTTATTGTAGAGACGATGAATTGCTTGTACACACTTGTTTCATTCATCCAGTGCAAATGTGTTAATATATTAGCTGACCAGAAGATTCAGCTTTAAGAAATGTTTTAGTTTATGCACTGCTGTGGTTTGAAATGATTTAATACACCCCATAAGCCAGGTACTGCTTCGGACTGAGTATACCAAACCTGTAGGATGTGTGAAAACCTCACTTAGTGACATCACATTGACTGACTTCTCATTCATTTTGACTAATAAAATGTTTTGATCCCATGGTAACTTTTATTTGCATGAATATTGTTGTACCGATATAGAGAGAGCTTTCATGTTTATACACGTGCGTGTTTTGTGAATCCAGATCATCATGTGAGAACAGTAAGCAAGTGAATATATCAGAACAAAAACATGAGGCAGTGCACGGTCCATTACTTATCACTCCCAGTGACGTCCTTATTCGTTTAAGTGAAGTACGCGAGTTAAGCATTGTTCCAGTAATTCGCTTTGACCATCCTAAGCAAATGCGAAAAGTCAGCTTGAAGGATGGATCTGAAAGAATAACTGAAGTCATGCAGTATGGCACTAGTCAAGACATCGTTAATACAAGTAAATTGTCAGAGAGTACAAACAAGCGGTCAGATTCATCATTACAGTGTAATGAATCTACGGATATTACCAACAGCTCTAAAAGTCTAGATCCATGTGACGATACTGATCAATTAAGTGAAGTGATGACTAACGGCTTTTCTAAACGAAAGGAAATCGACCAGGAATTTGGCAAGAAGACTTCACTGAGGAAAGGAAAGAACAAGGTGAAAGAGGAAGTTGCAAGACTAGAAAAAGGAAAAGGGAAGTCGAAATCTCCGATGAAGCATTTAGAATTCTCCGAAAATAGATCTACCACACAAATAAGCTTCAATAACAGTACGGACTGTAACAACAAACAAAGTGTCCAACAAAATCTACAAAAACAAGTCCCAGTAGAACAGAACAAAAACAATGATGCAAAGCCACTATCTGTACACAAAACAAGAAGACGTAACACATCTGCAGAAAGTAGAAGGCGACGAGAACGACGTCTTTTGAACAAGCGAAGATATTCAGAGGTATGTTTTTGGATTAGAGTTAGTTTTGTTTTTACATCAGCCATAGTTTTTGGTCGATTGATGGTTCCGAGTGTTACCTGAAAAGAATTGTGATTGTTTGCAGAAATTTAGAAATATCTATGGTAAACTTTTAAACGACTGTTGACTTGACCAACGTCATTTATTGGTTCATTATTTTGATAAGGAAGATTAATAGTATCGCTAGTTATCCTCGATTTAAAGGCTCGAAATGGATTACGCAAACTTGTGTTTAGTTAAAATTGAGATGTAATAAATAGGACGTTTCATCGAGAACAGGTGGATTTATTTCAACAATAAAAGTAACCTAAAATACATTTTGAAGTACTAGACATTTGTCGTAACTAATTATAGGGACTGGTATGATTTATCAGTCTTTGTCGATGTTTTCTATATTTTGTGACCAGTGACCTCGCTTCGATATTCTTGGAACTTGTCAGAGCTGCATGCACCTGAGTATACTAGTGACGATGTTCTCAATGAATTCATGTCTCACCTCAAACACCATTATTAATAGACCTCAAGTACACCCAACTGACGATAAATTCCCAATTTTGTTAAATCTTGTGCTTATAAAAAACAGTGAAATCGACTGCATGCTCAGTTATTTTAATAATAGCCTATTAAATTAGCGTTGTTTAGCCCTAGTTACATACTTTTTTCAGTGATTTAATGTTTACCACCCAGTAACGGTTGTCAGGGTGGCATTTTCTTTTCATTTCGTTCGAATATGTGTTAACTGAAATGTGTGCTTAACTCAAAGGAATTTACAACTAACATACTCTGTGATGTTTTCAAACATTTAAATAAGGGTCGAGTGAAAGATATCAGGTTCTTTTTCAAACGCTCATCTTTTAGATTATTGAATTGTGATCCAATAATCCCCATTCCTAGCCTTAGTCTAGTCGACATTAAGCTAGGTGACTGCACAAAGTGCTGACTGTTGAAAAATTCAATATCAGGGCAAAATGACTACATAGCGCCTTCTAGTTTACGCTAGTACTACAACCAACATCCATCCGTAATGAAAGTCGACCCACATAAAACATTTTTCATTTAACACAGTTCCTTCTGTCAAGACCGTTTGAAGCATATTTGGAATGGTCCCTACAATGTAACTTGTACTATTGTCTAATTGTTGATTTTTTCAAAGAATTTGAACTTCTTCCATAGCCTCCAGGTGATTAGAACGATCTTTAAGGAGAGATATTTTTTAGAATTTCAGTATTCAGAAAGATGAAATAATTTCTTCCCACTTCATCTAACACAGTGAGGAATGGTGAGGTTAGATGTAGGCTACAAGGTAACGACTGAAAATTCTTCGATGAATTCTTGTTGTTTCACCCACTGGGGCCTCTGCGGTATACGTTCAAAGTACAAAATTCACCACATAACCTGATATGAACTCCTGACTGGCGTGACAGTCGGTCGGAAGCTAGCTAGGGGCTATTAAACAAAGTTACTGACTGTTGATTTGAGTCATGTTAGTTAGTGTTGGAATTCAGGCAACAACTGTGATCAGTAGTCAAAAACATGCAGCTGGCAAGTCCCCAAAAGGACGGTCACGACTCCTGGATTCCATTGCTAGCTACATTACATCTATTGTATTAAACTGGTTGGAGATGTTATGTGCCACGATTAGCGGTGGCGTCCAATCATTCATTCATCACTCTCTAGTTTCCGAGTCTCAGTATTATCTCATACTTATTCTACAAACCTATTACGTTTCTCGAAGCTAGTTCTCCGTCTTATTGTGATTATTTACTACAATCATTCCGATTCGTTTGCTTTTCATTATTTCTAATCTCATCTTTGATATACCAACGTGATACGATATAATAACCTGTGCCCAACCACGTTTCTGTTACGCAACACACCAACCGTGACTGATTCATTGACCGATCCACTTTGTCCTGAGGAATTACCTGGCATAAATAACTGTCAGGTGACAAATAGTTTCCTTCACGATGAAACAAAGTCATATTTAAAATTATCAGTGCCAAAGACTAAGTTTTCGCTAGCATAAACTATGAACGTTTCTTGTAGATAGATTTTCACTGATTGCTTCTCTATAATGTTAACAAATTATAGGGTAGCGGGAAAATGCAAGCCAAATCTGTCAATATCTCTAGTTCATCATTCTTAAAATGCCCAACATCTACACCACACTTGATAAATGGTCGTTCTGAAGCATCATCAAGATGGTACGATAATGGCATTGTATCGATAACAATTCAAGAGTCGTCAACAAACTCAACCATGAACCATTCAAATAGTTTGTTGAAACCAAGACAGAAAACACCAGTGAACAATCGCCGCTTGAAATAAATGAAATCCAGTGAATGATGATTAGTCATCTGTTGTATCTCCAAATTTAGCATTGACAATGCTACTCTTGTTTAGTCGATATTATCAAATACGTTTAATCTATCTGATTTTCAACAATACGAGAGTCCGATTTTACTGTTTCTCATTCATGCTGTAGATTCAGTCAAGCTTATTGATGAAAAGAAATGTGCATTCATTATTCTTATCATATCATAGTCTGAAAAGTTCGGTCGATCATCATAAAACCTTATTTGATGTTAGGTGGCTATAACTAGCCGTTTCGATGCCCACATTGGCTCAGAATTTCATGTCACTTGGCTTTCATTAATGAAATATGCACATTATCCTGAATCAAATGATACTTCAATCTAGTAAGATTCAAACTGGCTTTCCTAAATATCTACTGACACTAAGGGGTTATAGGCATCAGTTTAGAGGAACTTTAAGTTAGAAGAAAACAGTTAAGCGAAAAATATACAGTTCTGACTAACGGACAAGATTTAAGTTGGAGTGTCATGGAGTTCTGAGCAAACGTCAAGGTGCAATGGTGGAAAGCTTATTTCGTACGAAAAGCTAAGTAAGAAAGAGGTAGAACCTACCATTATTCATTCAGTATGACGTTTAACACTGATTATTACGAGAACAGCAGAAATAAGGAACTAACTTGAACGTTTCTTAAAATAACAATGAGAAAGTGATTCATTTGCTATGTAAAAGGGAACACAAACAAATACATTTAAGGTTTTCACAAACCAGGAAGATAGTAGGTGGAGTTGTGAAGACAACTTAAAGGTTTCTAGTATATGAAATTATGCAGAAACTGTACATGTATTTATCATCATGGCTACCAAGTATTATTCCGTACTCGATTCCTAAATATCGCTACTAACTTCATAACTTAACCTTCACTCCTAATCCGACCATTTCTCGAGTTGTCTAAAGAATAGTGCTATCATATCACCTACATTCTCAGTGATTAATATTTAGCTCTGGACTCTCATGGTAATTTGAGAACCACGGTAGGTCACCAGTGAAACACATCCCTGTCAACAATTACCCAGCAAACTAATATCACTATTAGAATGATTCGCAACATTGGTGAATAGACTAACGTCTTAGGGTTCCTCGCTGAATGAAGTAAAGTAGTCTATCAACGTCACTGTAAGAAGAACACAGATAATCAACGACAAGTTCGCTTTCGAATAATCCGACTGTTTTCAAACGTTCATCGTTATTTGGTTTTTATTTGGATTAAAGTGTCTGCATCCATAGAGATAGAAACAACAGAAATAATAAGATATTACGAAATAGATAGACGAAATTAGAGTACCCCTATTATTCATATAAAAGTATAATTAAATAAATTTACTCGTGAGCGCTTGTCCATGTACACAAAAACGAAATGAAGCAATACAATTAAAATACCAAAGTTTAAGAATCAAATCAATTTAATTGGACATTGAACTAGTTTCCCCACATTCTTCAGGAAAAACGAAATGTTCGTTAAATAAGCAGAGAAGTAAGGAGCATAAGGATAATTGAACATTGAGTCTAAGTTTGTTCTATCATCCATTTAACAAGTTGCCTAAATCACCACGCATCCGCCTTTTTCTTGGAATGGATTATCCTTCTTACTCGCAAATCCTGAAACTAGACAATCTTTTTCTCGATTCTGCTCCATAAACACAATCATTTCTTGCACACATTCAGAAACAGGACGACGATTTAAATTTGCTTCTTGACGTAGTTGTTCAACTAGTTTACGTTGTTGACTTAAAGTTGACATGGTTTGTATTTTGACTGCACTATTACTTTTGTCTGATGGGAATCCTGGAAGACAAAGAAGCAAAACAGATCAACATGTAGGATAGATGAATATTGTAGTGTTTTAAACATAAACATTTAAAAGTTATGGCTTCCATTTCGTATAGGTAGAAGTCAGCTGGTGGGGTCAGTGAATAGATCACTAGAATGAACGCTGTTCTGCGTACCTGATTGGACCAGCGTAGCAGTATCATCCGATGGCTGTCAACTGTTTATTGTGAATATTTATCCGTACTTAGAGGAGAGTGTATTTACCAACAACTGTCAACATTAGCTTAACTGTACTTGGTAAAGTCGGTAACATACATCAATATGAGGAGCTTCATTGAAGCACTCTGCGGCACTTAATACACAGATTCTGATTACGTTGTGTTATAGAAGTTGATAAATACACTCATGGTCTATCACAGATACTTAAATAACTAGTGAACATTTACATGCGGCGTACTAATAAATTTTAACAGATTGGCATATTGAGGTTAAATTGTTTAGCTTGTACTTTATATCATGGACTTTCGTTGATTAGACAATTCTGTAAACCTTCTAAGCTTAATCTCAATAAGTGCTATGGATATCCAATGTTAAGTAATATTCCAAGACGAAGCAGTTGTCCACTGCTCCCTGGTTTCAATGATTATTTCATTTAAACTGGAAATTCAGGTCATATAATTATCGGATAATTCCTTCAAGATTTCATTTTACGATGTACTAGACAATAATCCTTTCGCTTAGTTATTCCCCTAGTTGAATACTTTAATAATTCATGCAGTTCATTATTATTTTCTGGATTAGGATTTCAACACTGTTCCGTGTAATCCGCTTCGAATAGCTCAGCTATCATTGTGATTAAGTTTTATTGCAGAAATCTTATTGTCTATAAGTAATCCATAACGATGAATAACACAGTTCTACAGTAGTTTACGCATGGCAACATCTCAAATGATGATACTCTGTCATATTCCATTCAAACAATGGAGAGTGCCAGAGATTTTCTCTTAAACACAATAAAATAATGCTAATAACCATTCGAATCACAGAACATAGTGGTCAAATCATTATTCAACTTACTGAATCTAATTGAATCACAAGTTTCCAAATTGTGAAAATGAATAAATAAATCGTCACATCAACTTTTCATTATTATTTATTCAAGGGAAAAATATTCTTTCTTCCTATCGATCAATAATCTTGAAAGAGGAAGAATGGAAGGTAACAAGGACAAATGATTCATCCAATCAAAATACAGAAGATGAAAACAATAATCCCATTTTGATTGGTCGGATTTCATTTTAGAAAATCGATCAATCATTGGATGACTGTCTACATGTGTATTGATTATATTCTCATTCACAGGCAGCTGCAGGCATACTGTGTTCTGTACTACTGATGTGGACTGATATAAGTAGTGTGTATCAACGGTCGAACGAGGAAAGCCTGGCATCAGAATCTTAATAAGATCGAAAGGAAGAAAACGAGAAGACAGAGCGATTGGTATGGAAATGAAGTGACAATAAATTCTGAGAGAATCAGTGGATAGTTTGAAAATGGAATATTTACTGTATTATTCTCAGATTTTACCATGATATTTTGTAATATCGCATTGAGATGTATTCGGTTGATCCGACTTGTGTTCTCGTCCACTCTCATACAACATGAATCTACTTAAACCATTACTGACTAACTAACAACTCTTAAGCATAACAAATGTTATTTATATAGAAAATATGCTGATTACATTTTGTAGCTAATCGGTTATATACGAGAATCATTAACTAAGGTGTATTGTGTTTAGTTTTGTAGTTATGTGATATATTACAGCAACGAGAGTCCTTCATGGCTAATCAGTTAACATTCGTTTACGTTCTCACTAGAGCAAATGCAAACCAACACATTTTCTGTATTGTGTGATAATGAAATAATCAATTGGTCATGTGGTGTGGGTTACTTATATCCACATCAGTAGTATATAATTGTCGTCAGGCATAGTATGTATTTCAGCAAAAGTCCATGAATGAGAGAACGTGAATGGAAGGCGATTGGTATAAGAATGCATGAACAATGAAATCTAAGACAATGGATTGATATTTGCAAAAGGGACAGTCATTTTTGACACGATGGATTGATATTTTGCAAATTAACTATTTACTATATGGTTCTGAGATTTTAGTGAGATGCTCTGTAATTTCGTGTCAACTACATTCGATTATCTCCACTGGTGTTCTTATTCACTAAAGTCATATCCCAGTGACTAGAAACTTAAGTATTTGACACTTGATAACCTGGAGTAAGCGAGTCCCCCGAAAAGTAAACAGCTTCTGACTGGTAGAAATGTTAAGTCTCCCCGCCTTCGTCCTGGTATTATTTTATTGCTTAGTATTTTTGAACACTTTGGTTGTCCAAGTCAATTCTCAAATATAAACACAACATAGACAAAAAACGAAGATGTGTTCCGTTACAAATAGGGAATTAATTCAGTGAAGTAAAAACTGTCATTTTATATACAAATATCATACAGAAGAATTTCTATTTTTTTCCTGTTTTACGTACCAGCGCCGATCAGTTGAAAATGAACCTACCACTGAGCTCCAACGGCATCTTTTCTAAAACGTGATTTGGTCAGGCCCCTGTCCTGTTAACAATAGAAAGGTGTATTTATTACATACAACCGACTCTTATGAATGTCACTGTCATGTTAATGGTTTTTTTTACTTCGACCGGTTCTTGATCTACTTAATATTCAGTAGTCCCCACAAACTCCATACTGATAATCTCCATGTGACCAGCTTTGGGAAGAGGTTTCAAGAATTATCAGTGGATTTCATCCTTGACGATTACGTGGAAGGCACCCACAAAGAACCCTTAATGATGGTCGCGCAATTTCGCGAATTCATTGAATTTCGACATTTACACCTTTGAATGTTTGTTCATTGATCTAAAGTGTAAGTGTTCACACACGAGGCCGAACCTCGTGGGTTTGACTCTCGTTTAAGAAGTTTTATTGACCCATTATCTGATTCCAGTTATATTGTAGATTGACTGTTACTGAAATATACATGCCGCAAATCCTCGTATATAATTATTGACTAAGATCATATTAGTAAATAACGGGATAAATTAGGTTAAATACGAGAATGGATTTTGAATGCGTTTATTTCGTGCAATCGTTGATTGGGAAGCGAATCGAAGCAAAATGATGCGCAATAGAGATGAGTGAGTGAAAGCTATTTTACGAAGCGTGAGTTGATATTTGTAGTCAGACAAAAAATAAGGTACAGATATGTGATGAGTAAGAAGTGAACACACATACGCCTACATAGAAACAGTCAAGGTTGATAAGCGACAAGGTTACAATGAAGCTAGAAAAGAATGGATAAATCGGTTCATTCGGAAGCTAGAATAACCTAAGTGTACTTGACATTAGGCCATCTATTACAGGATCATGCTGACGACTATCGAGTCTCACGAAACTTCTAAATCGCCCAATTGTGATACGCACAAAATCAAAGTTCGCAAAACAACGATTTCACTGAAACAGCGGTTTTTATTGAATAATATACAAATATTAGTTACAGACCTCAAGTTGTGAAGTGTTTGCATTATTTACCGCCTCTTTTTGTCTGGAATAAAAGAGGCTTCCTGTAACAGTAACATAAACAATAATTACAACATACGACAGTGTTAAAGACAGCGATTAGCTGCACCTAAACTTGGGAGCATTTTTTATCAACAAGCGAAAATCGAACCAACAGCAAACAATATGGAAACCGTTGAGTTTACACATGGATTAAACAAATGCACAAAATTGTGAATAACTGCTACAATGATTGAGATAAAGTAATTATAATGATAAATACAATAAAGTGTTATAAGTATATGTAACTATTTCAGAATATTACACAACAAACTTGCGTTACAACATCAGCGTAAACTATGCTTGGCATACAACTATTTACTGAATATAAATAAGTAGTATAAAACAATACACAAAATAGTCTAAGGGAAGTGAATGAGGACAGTGGATGGACTAAACAGTAACAAGTAGCAATCTTCATTTGGAACAAGCTGATATTACCAGTGTTTCATTGACATTCAACACTTTCTTGCCTTGATAAGCTTCATACGTCTACGTTGTGACAAAGTGTCATAAAAACGTTCAGGAAAATGATTCGAATCATCTAAAGATCCCCATCATAATAAAAGACTAGTATTTGAACGAAGAATATTCCTTTCGAAGAATTCTCTTCAGGTTCCTACAATTCATATATACAAACTAATAATCCGAAAAAATGGTCAGGTTAGGAGGGAAAGTACATCGGTTAAAGCATGTAAATTTAGGATTGTTAAACAAAAAGTCACTTTGATTTTTACTGGTTGTTTTTTTATTTCATGTGGTGTTTGTATAAAAGAATGGCTGTTTTGTACTTGATTCCTGGTAGGTATCGAATACGAAATACAATACGTTTGTTTCTGCTTAACGAGTTCTATTTGGCCCAGATTGCACTGTTAAGAGAATTCCTTGTTAATTTACGTCTGCATCAGGTCCTCCACGTTCATCAATGATGCTGGGCAGGTACATGAAAGATTCCATTTCTTCCAAAGTTTTTCTATCAAATGTGATTGAGTTGTTGTTCCTTGTGTCGTGTTTGGAGATCATGGTTTTTCCCTTGTGTATGTTGAGGCCTACCGATACAGAGATTGCTAATAAACTGATTGTCTTGACCGGCGTTTGTTCGTGTATATGGAATGGAAGGGCCAGTTCATTTGTGAAGTCCAAGTAATCTCGTTTTACTCAAAGTCTCTGTTATGACGTGTGCTGTCAGAAGTCCGATACTGATACACGGTGTACCATGTGCTAAGCACCCGTCTGACTACCTGAGCGAAAACAGTACCGAGAGAGAAAGTGTATTACGATACTAAATGAAATGCTATATTGAAGCATTGTAATGCTGATCCCAAAGTTGTACAGGTGATTATCTGTAGCTATGTTAGCCTTTCTTCTGATTCGC